GCTTTAGCACAAATGCGTTGCGTCAACTTGGAGCCCGATACAGCAAATGCAACGTACTATACATAAAGAAAGTATGAAACATTTTATGAAACATATTCCTACTTGAATAAAACGAATGATTAAGAGAATAACACCTATCAAGAAGTAGAGAAGGGAAAACTTCAAAATTTGATGGCTTCGTTCTTTGTAGGTACATGCTCCAAATGCCTGTGAAGTACGAATTACTACAATTTTGATCGTTTTCTAAGCAAAAATAACTTACAGATATCGTGTTTATGAGTAGAATGATCTGGATTGATTGAACTGCTCCGATAATGAGGCAGGCCACGCAGCCAATCAGAATGATGATCCACTCGGGTCTATTCATCAATACAAGTCGCAAGAAAACAGGTTGACAATTTGTAACCGACAATGATGTCTATTAAAAGAATATTGTGCATGCAAAAACCGTCGCAATACAAGTATTTTCATGTTCTTTACTTTAACTTCTTCGTCAAGTTCATTATGACTATGATGCTGAGAGCATTCAGCTAATGGAAAAATTATATCATTCGAAATATTCTTTTACTGATATTAATTACGTACATATTTGTTTTCGGTCATCATCTTCTATTTGTGCAGCATTCGGTTTTCTCGCTGGATGGGTCTATTTGATAGGATACATCATTTATTCGATTGGTTTTGCCTTGGGCTCATTTCTCATGCATCAACAAGAACATAAAAGACTCAGTTTCAATCATCTTCTTGTGGTAAGTTATTTATTTCACAAAAAAGGATTGCAAAAACCCTTGCAACCTTGACACTCGAGTAGATAGTGTTTGCCCTGGTACGAATGATCACTTTTCTCGCCGTTGTCAGTCCTTTCTTTCTACTATTGGAAGAAGCTCGAGGTGCCATATCGCCTGTATTTCGATTGATCGATGAGGTATAACTGTTTCTAACGCACAATCTTGTTCCTTTACAAAATCATCATGTAGGAAAAGACGACAAGTGTGAACGAAACACATATATCACAAGACTCGGTCTCTGTTGAAGAAGCTATTTACATGAATGGTGATGTCCAATTTGATAATATCAGCTTTGCTTATCCAGCTCGACCAGATGTCTTAGTCCTACGAAATATCAGTCTGATAGCTCGTGCCGGTGAGATAACAGCTTTAGTTGGTTCAAGTGGTTCGGGTACGTATTTCAAAAGAAAAACATTGGAGATTGATAGTCTATTTTTTGGTAACTGAATAGGCAAGAGCACATGTATTTCACTTCTACTTCGTTTTTATGAACCTTTATCGGGCCATATTGCAATCAATAATCGATCGATTACCTATTGTGATTTGAAACAATTCCGAAAAAAGATTGGTGTTGTCAGTCAAGAACCAGTATGTTGGTCTTTTTCTATTCTGATTTTTGCATTTCATATTGTTCTATGGAGGCTCTCTTTGCCACAAGTATCTATGAAAATATTCGCTTGGGTAAAGAAAATGCAACGAAAGCTGAAATTGAAGAAGCAGCACGTCAAGCCAATGCGCATGATTTCATTATGCGCTTACCGGATGTTTATATCGAATAATCGTTTCTCATGATATTTGTTCTTTTTTCTGTTTTCTTAGAAATACGAAACACTAGTTGGTGAGCGTGGTGTTCAGCTAAGTGGGGGTGAAAAGCAACGTATAGCTTTGGCCCGTGCTCTCGTAAAGCAACCTATCTTGCTTTTGTTGGACGAAGCAACAAATGCTCTTGATAGTGCCAATGAACAGATCATCCAAGAAGCACTTGATAAAGCTTGCAAAGGTTTGAACCCCTCTTTCACATTTCCTCATACCATCTAGAATCACACATAGATCGGACAACTATTGTTATTGCTCATCGTTTGGCAACAATTCAAAATGCACATCGAATTTATGTGTTAAATGATGGGCATATCATCGAACAAGGTACACACGAGACACTGATGGCACAAGAAGGAAGTCAATATCGTGAAATGATGAAAGCTCAACAAGAAGAAAGAACAAATATCATGAGAAACGATTATTCGATATAAACATCCGGTAAGCGCATAATGAAATCATGCGCATTGGCTTGACGTGCTGCTTCTTCAATTTCAGCTTTCGTTGCATNCTCCCCATTCGGTAACGAAAAATAGTCTTTCGCCATTATTGATGTGTTTTCCATTATTATTCTAGTCGAATCAATTTACAACAATTGAGAACTAAGAATGGTTGATACTATCATTGTAATCCTATTTTCCATTTCATTAAGTTAGGAAGCTTCTGACTATGGACTAAAATACAAGCTATGACTTATTTATATCATCCGACTTCTTAACATCTAGTCAATGTTGTTAGTCGTTGAAGTTACTTATATATCAAAGTTATTACATTGGACAAGATTGACATAGCAGTCATCCTTAGTAATATCGATTTACTCTGAATCCTGTATCTATGTTGCACTTCTTTTTTAACATATCAATAATATACTCATATAACCATACAAGAACTTGTCGACGAGAAGGGTTCTGATGCCCGCCTTGCACAATGTCAGGAATACACATAATCATATGTATAAGACAAAAAGGTTGATCTATGCATGACTTTTGATCATTTGTATCTCATTCAGTGTTAAATCACTGCTGAATGCTAGCATATCAATTTTTGTTCATAAGAAACAATAAACATTAATGTACATTTGAAATGAATGTTACATAGTTGAAGAACTTCATTCTTTGTCTATTTTTGTTGGTTGGTCAATTTTGAACGCCTACATCTAATATTAACGAAAAATTTATTGAGAAAACAAGCAAAATATGTATTATCCAAATATACGACAAGTGAACAATGAGAAAATCTGATAATTGACATGTTGACAAGAAACAATATCTTCGAAAAAAGTTGAAAAATGTAATATATAAAACTAAAGAAAAGTAAAGAAACATATTGATGTTATTAGTTTGAAGAATTTGTTAAATAATTGACCATTTCAAGCCAGTCCGGAAATTGTGCTGGATATTTGGCACTAACAAAAAATACACGACCTACACCTTTTAATCCAATTTTCTGAATTTCTTTTCGTATTTGTTCACAAAATTCTGTTCGTTCTTCTTCTTCTACACGATCCATTTTGTTCACTATAATATCATATTTTATATCAATAGCATCTAATAATTTCATAATGCTCGAATTTTCTTTGATTGTATGTTGAACAAGAATAAGACGTCGTGTTAATCCTTTGAAGAATGATATATATTGCATACTCATATATGATACTTCATCATTTCGACCAGGAATATCCCAAAGAACAAAATTTCTACCAGAATAAGATGCAACTTCTAAAGTTGTTTCACCAACACCTGTTGCAGCTTTTTTTTCACCAAGAAGACTATTAAGCATTGTTGATTTTCCAGTTGATGTTAAACCAAAAAGAGCAACATTATTACCTTTCATTCCTATTGGTTGAGCTTCTTTTGCTAATCGGATAAGTGCTTCTTTAGCTTTTTTATCATGTTCTTCAATAGCTTCGAAAGAATTCAATTTCTTCTCTTTCAATTCTGCCAAGAGTTTGGTCATTTGTTTCAATTGTTTTTCATGTTCTTTCTGATATTTTTCTATGTCTTCACGTAGTTGCTTGTTTTGAGCAGCTAGTTCTTCATTTCTCTTTTGTTGCTCTATTTGACTTCTTTCCATTTGTTCGGTTAATTCTCGGTTTCGAGTTTCTAGAGTATTGTTTCTCTCCTCAGCTGCCGAATCTTTTTGTGGAACAGATTCTAAAAAGAATATCAAAATATATCGTAAGAAATCAAGATCATATCCCATCAAATCTTTCAGATAGTGAATGACTAACATGAAGTGAGAATCCTATCACTATTTTAATAGTTCTATGTTATTCTTCTGATTTTAATCACATAGCTTAAGATTTTTCAGCCACTTAAAAATTCTCATTCGATTTTTGTTTACTATTTTCTGATACAAACTAAAATCAGACTATCAACCACTTTTTGTTTCCGAATATTTTTTTTTCGATGTAGCTACGAAACTGTCTGTACGAGAAAATCTAAAAGGTTTTAATAGCACTGCGAAACCTTTTTAAGTTCTGCAAAGTAGTTATTCTTTCGTCTTACAAACAAGTACCAAAAAATTGTAGAAAATAAATATCCTAGTCGGGTGACAGAGTCTGAGTAAATGAAGAAAAACGAAAAGATATACTGATATAAACATTCGGAATCATCTCGGACCCTATTCTTTAATTTGACAGGTGTTTAGAATATAGTTCTCTGATTATCATCATGTAGAAGCATAAATTATGACAGTAAAACAGAAAATCAAGAGATAGATTGATCTGATTTCTCCGTATTGGATACTAATTCTAATTAATTTGCTTTGAAAAGAACATAAATATTCTCTATAAAATAAAATCTTTCAAAAGATTAACTGATTGAAATATGAATGTTTCTATTTCCATGTAGAATTTAAATCATTTTTCTCAAGTTTTTTTCATATTATTTTCGTTGTTGTTATATGAATTTTATGGATACACTTCAATCAAAAGACAGAATTTTGAAAATAAAAATAATTACAAAAATGTTTTGTTTTCTCATGAAAATTATCCAAAACCTTTAGAGTTCGTTAGCATACCAGGTTTATCATCGGCATCCTTTCCATTAATCAGTTTTGTAATAGCTTCAATTGCCATTGGAATTATTGGGATCGCAGCAGCCAACCACGCCATAATGTTCTCGAATTATAAAATAAGTACTGAAATTGGTTAAAGACTATACTTTCGTCTAATAATATTACATGGTATAAATAGGGAACAAAGTGAAATAATTCAAATAGAACGACTCATACAAGAAAAATTGGAAATAACCGATTACTCAACTCTACACTTCTATTCTGAAATGATGAGAGAGATTTCTCCCTTTAAATATTGACTTTATTTCTTTTCATACTACATGTGAAGCACAATATTTCGAATGAATGACGCAGCCAGTTTATTTCTTTTTTTCGTTCTCTGTTGTATTTTTGGACAATTCTCTTAGCAAACAGCGGAGAACGCAAGAGCAAAAAATCCCCTGATTGCATGAATGACTAGAATTATTTTCTTCAATAGGAATGATGAAAAGAAACAAAATCAATATTAATGGAAGAAATCTCCTTTGATATTTCCGTATAGAAGTGTTGAGTTGAGTAATTGGTTATATCCAACTTTTATTGTGTGAAACATTTGACTTTTTTAGCTATTTATACAGTGCCATACTAGAATATGATGGTGTATTCTCTGACAAAAGTTCGGTGTTTACTACATTACTTCAATACAAAATGTCATTGACTACATTGATTTCATGGGTTCCAATGGTACCATTGGCAATTGAAAGACTACTAAATTCATTAATTGGTGACAGAAGACCACGTAAGTTTTTCAACTAGTTGACTTCAGATTTATTTTGTTGTAGAATGTAGAAATAAAAAACGCATGAATACAGTTTAGAATGTTCTAATTATTGAAAAACGAATTCCTGTCTATGGAAACTAGCATTTATCTGGTCTCTAACATTAGTTTGGTTTGCAGAATACTCATATTTGTACATATACAAGTATTTCAGAAATTTTCAAAGTTTTCTCCTTAAATTACTCGTTTCTTTGTGAAACGAAAGCTTTTATAGTATTAAATTGAAACTTGATCGATAATTGAGGTCAAAAATAGATGAATTTGCACAGATCAGTCTTTTTAAAATCTACTGTGAGTGTTTTTGAGATTCGCAGAAAAAGTTTACCATACTAATGTTGAATGATAAAATTATTTCGACATACGAGTCTATTTAATAAGTTTCAATTGTTTGATCCAACAAAAGTTACATCTTGATAGGAAGCACTCAAAACTATTTACATTCACACGCATATCATCAAACACTACAGTTTTGATATGGAAAATTCATAACGACAAAGTCATAAGTAATTTCGATGAAATTTAGAATAATGCTTAAAATGTACCTGAATTGTCAATGAATCAACTATTAACATAATTTCCAAATTATTAAATGATTTATACTGATATTCGAACAAAGAACATATGTTTAAATGGAAGTAGAACATAATCAGTTTTTCAGTTGTGATCTTCTTCTTTATTGAAATAACTCATAATAGACTGAATTTTAGTATTATCATATAAAATCAATTAAACATTTACATTTTATTATTTGTCTATTCGATACATATATATATAAACATGATATGAATTGAGAGTTGTTTAATATCATCTCTCTCCCGCTCTGACTTTATATCTTTAAGATTATTTCTAAACAATGAATCAATCATATTTTTCTTCTTATAGGTGACCATGATCGACTAGATAATGAGGATAGACAACAACTAGAACACAACTTGAGAGAACAAGTAGAGAGAAATAATGCTCTAGCGGTTCAAAATCAACAATTATCTGAACAATTAGTAAAAAAGGAACGAAAGAAGATAAACGATGCTCTCACTTCTCAAATTCAACAATTTGTCAAACCAATAAATGCGAATGAGGAAGAAGTAAACACAAGAAATGATCGTCAGACTTATCAAAATCAACGATCGTTTGAACAAATTCAGACGAATACTGAATTAGCTACTGAAAATATGGAATTACAAAAACAATTAGAGAATTATCAAAAAGAACATGAAGAAGAACTGAAAGAGATGAATAAACTTATGAAAGATTTAAAAGAAAAGAAATTGGATTCTTTCGAAGCTATTGAAAAAAATGATAAAAGAGCAAAAGAAGCTCTTATTCAATTAGCAAGAAAAGCTAAACCAATAGGAATGGAAGGTAATAATGTTGCTCTTTTTGGTTTAACATCAACAGGAAAATCAACAATGCTTAATAACCTAATTGGTGAAAAAAAAGCTGCAATTGGTATTGGTGAAACAACTTTAACAATAAAATCTTATCCTACGAAAGATTTTATTCTTTGGGATATTCCTGGTCGAAATGATGAATTATCATATATGAGTCTGGAATATATATCATTCTTCAAAGGATTAACACGACGTCTTATTCTTATTCATTGTACAATCAAAGAAAATTCTGGTATGATGAAATTTTTAGATGCAATTGAACTAAATTATGATATTGTTGTTAATAAAATGGATCGCATCGAAGAAGAAGAACGAACAGAATTTTGTGAACAAATACGAAAAGAAATCGAGAAAATTGGATTGAAAGGTGTAGGTCATGTATTTTTTGTTAGCGCAAAATATCCTCGACAATTTCCTGACTGGCTTGATATGGTCAACTATTTAAAAAATTCTTAAACATAGAAAAATTAATGTTTCTTGGCAAGACATATTTTTTGCGTTTCTTTTTGTATATTTTTATTTCAAACATGCTTTTTTTTGTCTATTTGTTTGCCTATTCTCAAAGCATGGTAATGCTGTAAAAACCAAAACAATGCATATTAAAAAAGCCTTGTATGTCTCGGCATTGCTTCAAAAGTTTTGTAAAATTCTTTCTTTCTTTTGAAAACATTCGAATTAAGAAATAATTCATTATTTAAGTTCCATATGAAAAGTTGTATAATTTTATTTTCTGGACACTAACATTATTATTTGAAGATAATGCAGTTGGAATTAGATAAGATATATAGAAGTATGAAAGAGTAACAAAGAACATTTTATATTTTCTACAAAGATAATTTCTTGAGAAACATGATTACATTCTCATAATCACAACATGGTGGGAAACTTTCTATAATAATTTAAACTATTACGGGTATGAGCGAAGAAGAAGGTCGATAGTATCCATTGGATTAGGGTCCAGAAATTCTCCTTTTTGCACACTGATTGTGTTCATATTCACATCTTTTAGACCTGTGAGGCTAATGATCAGAAATGTTCAAAAATCTGGTCAAACGTGACTCATGGATAGTTCTTTTTACTAACAAACTGCCTCAATCATTAGACAATTACGAAGTTATGAAGAAGTGAAATTTTGATCTCGAATAGTATTAACTAAACGGTGATGCCTGTTCACTGTGTTACAATATGGTGACTTTTTCAAATGCATTTAAATGATTAGAGCTCTAAACAGAAGATCAGTTATTAGTGTTGTTGTCAATTTACAAGTTATTTATTGATATTGCATTAATATATCTATCTCACTTTCACAATCACTATCGTATTCTCTAAGCAACATTATGCTCTGTTCTTCATTGGTAAAACTCATTGATTCCAGTAGTATCATTCATAAGTGGATCAGTAGTGGTGATTACTATTGAGAAGTGAATTAATAGTACTGCTTATATCACCATTATGTTTAGTAAGAAGTCTTCTGTTCTTATTCTCATCGTCGAATCCCATTGATTGCAGCTGGTGTAGTTGTGCAGCAAACTGATCTTGTACAAGATTTGAAGTTGCAGATCTCGCTCTGTGTTGTGGAAAGAATGATGTATTGGATTTTGTTTCTATCTGATTCCTTCTTGTCATATTATTAGACTTATGTGGTCTCTCAGTAAGACTATGAACCATTTGAAGCCAATCATCAAACATTTGAGGAAACTTAGAGCTAATGAACCAGACATTTTCAACACCCATAAGTCCAATTTGTTTGATTTCTGCATGAATCTGTGCTTTCAACACATCCCTCTCGTCTTCTTGATGTTGATCAAACTTGTTCACTACGATATCGTATTTCAAATTAATAGCATCAAGCAATCGAAATACACTAGTCATTTCTTTTACTGTTGCCGTAATCAGTACGAGACGAGCTGTTAATGCTTTCCAAAACGCAACATATTCCATAGTAAAATAGGAGATCTCATCATTTTTGCCAGGAATATCATAGAGAGAGAAACCATTACCATCATATCGTTGTACTTGGGTCGTTGTTTCACCAGCACCAGTGGCTGCAACTTGTTTCCCAAGGAACTGGTTAAGCATTGTACTCTTCCCAGATGAAGTGATACCAAAAAGAGCAAAGTTAACTCCTGTCATTTGCATGGGCTGTGTCGCTGCAGCCATGCGCTTTAACGCCTCTGCACCTTTACTATAATGTTCGTCTAAATCGTCGAAAGAGTTAATATTATTGTCTCGAATTTCTTGGTAAAGCTCATCATATTTTTCCATGAGCTCTCGATTTCTGGCTTGATATTCCTCGATTTGTCGAAGTAATTCTGGATCTCGTACATACTCTTTCACATATTCAACTTTTGGTCGTTTTCTGGATAGCTTGTCCACTTTAGCTTCAAGTTGTGCAACTCTCGCGGACGCTGATGGATCCGGCACATACTTAATCTGAGTGCGTGGCTCTGGTGTTGAATTCTCTGCAAATTAGACGATATTTAAAAAAAAACCTCTGCATGAAACTTCTTCTTACTTCCTCCCATTTATGAAGTAAATATCTGTAGGTGTAGTGATCAAAAAATTATTTTTTTTTACTGCTCGAGAAAAGTTGTAACAATGTAGTTTTATAAGATGGCATATACTTACAGGGAGAATGATCTTTTCCCCTTTTCTTGTGTCACTGGAATATAACCAATAATGTATTTTTTCATTTTCTTTTCTGTTGGCTCTGTTAGAGTCAAAAAAGAATGTCCCGATGTTTATGTTTACTCTGTGACGTATTTCTCTGTTTGCTTGAAAATTTTAGAGACGAAAGTGATTGGAATGAAAGAAATTGCAGTGACTCACTATCACTTGCGTTCTATCATCTATACACGTCACATAATCACATAGAGAAAGAGAACTTACGATTTTTCTCTAGCAATTCTGACGTGTTTGATCGACAGACAGAAAGCAAGAATGATTCTTCATAATTTGCCATGATACTGACTCACCGCTATTTCTTCTATCCCTATTGAATTTCAATTTGTGCAATACGACAACATGCTTTCCGGTATTCATCGTTTCTGTATCTTCATTGATCTTATAACAATGTGGGACAGGAAATAAAACTACTGACGTTCTGTAGAATTTTTGATTAAAAATTGTTAGCATTTCTGTGAGAGAACCGACTTGAGAAATATTGCCACTGGTCACTCTTAATGCTACAGTGAAGAATTTATAAAGCAATACTCGACTGATTTATGCATTGATAAGTCGTGCTTTGAATCACTTGTGAATTTCAATGAGATTCTAATCGAAGGTAAAAATACATCCTGCAATAACATGTATCGCTTTTAGTTCGCAACAACTATACTGACACTTTGAACTCAATTACCTTTTGGGGGTAATGTATGCAAAGCATTGTTTGAAACCATTATGGATTAGTTATTCTTAAAAAATAATCATGTCAATGATTATGGTGCACGTTGTTGGAGTGAAAATGTGACTGTGTCTATATAGGTGAAGACGCGATGACCGCCGAACCATAGTGAGATCCACAGGCACACCACCCATTAGATATTTAACATTTATAGCAAATGAACAGATTCTTCACGCAATAACTATTGAACACTCAAAGAAGCTCACATAATCGTATAATCAACTTTTGATCCTCTTTTTCACTTTGTTTCGCTTGTAAAATAAATATAAATATTAATAATATTCAATTAGGGAAAAAACTCATGAAATCTTAATTAAATAGAACTTTCGCACTTTTTATGAAGAATTCTCGAGTATTTTCTTGGTTTTCCTTCTTTTTTGAGCCGTTTAATGGATGAACTAGGGTTAACTTTCATGAAAAATTCACAAGTTTTGACATGAAAACGAGCTTATATCTCCAAGAGATATGCAACTTCATTATTTCTGAATTTCTTTCTGGATGAGAGCAGTTTTCGGAGATTTATCTCATTCATAGAAAACAGTGACTAAAATTATTGACAAAACCTCGATGCAAGTGCAATGTGGATTTTTCTCTGGGAAGACTCCATTTTCACTTCGACACCTTTTACTCTCCAGTTGCAAAGCTGTGGGTTTTTTTCGTTCACTTTCTTTTGGTGATGCAATAACAAGGGAAATGAATGATTGGTATAGAGATTTATTCACCTTTCCTTTTGCTGTTTATAAAGTAGCACAATAGATGCTGTCAAATAACAGTGCAACTATTACGCCACACATCAATAACACGACATAGCCTCTCTATGCTACTCTTCGTCTTTCCTGTCACGTATGGATAAGATATATTAAATATCTTTCTTTCTTTATACATATTCCGTTTTGGTTATTTATTCCCTATTGAAAACTTCAGCTCATTTGTCCGTCTATATTTAGCTTTGTATGTGTAGCTCTATCATTAAAGTCTCTATATGTGTGCGTTTACTTTTCTCTGCGCCGTGAGTAAATGGTGATCAGACATATCGACATAATGGAATGTAAGATTGAGAAATCTAAATGCCTTCGAGACTTTTCAGTTCTTGATTGCATAGCTGAGTTTCTACTAGAGTTTCATGAAATGTTGAGATACCTACACTCACGTTTGCCCATTTCTGAGTAAAGGAATCACCTAATAACCCAAAGAACAAATAGATTTAAAAAAAACAGAAATTTGATTTAAAATATCTTCTGCGTACTTATTTTTACAAGGTTTTCAATAAAATTGTTCCCATTACATGTGTATTTTTTGCTTCTAGTTTATTATTATTGTGTTAACAAGATAAAAAGATGTCCATTGCCAACAATATAGAAGACGCAAGATTTGACGATTTGAAGCGAACTGTGCAAGCCACAAGTGAAGAAATTAATTATTTAAAGCGTTTGCATAAATTGAAGTCAATGAGGCGGCTTCGCGCAATAGACTGTCAAGTTTTTGATGTTCCATCTACGATTATTGACGATTTTCTCTATCATGGTAATGTAAAGAATGCACAAAACAAGGAGTTACTCAACAAACTCGGTATTCGACACATTCTTAGTGTATGCGATTTCTCATTGAGACAAGATATATCGGATCATTTCAAGGTGTTATGGATCAATGTAGAAGACATATCTGAAGCCGACATTCGTCAACATTTCGATCGAGCCAATGAATTTTTGCATGTATGTAAATCCAAGAACGAGAAAGTTCTAGTTCACTGTCAAGCAGATATTTCTCGTTCATCCTCATTCGTTCTTGCTTATCTGTTAAAGTAAACAAAAAGATTTTCTCCTTTTTATGAAAATTCCGTCTTATATTCTCATGTTATAGATACCATAATTATACATTAGACAAGGGGGAAAAAGCGGATCCCGGATCCCAGGATCCCATGGATCCCGTTGGATCCCGTTGGATCCCAGTGGATCCCGTGGATCCCAGTGGATCCCAATGGATCCCAGTGGATCCCAATGGATCCCAGTGGATCCCAGTGGATCCCAGTGGATCCCTATAAATATCTTTAAGTTTTTATGAGATTATATTAACTTTCAATTTCACTCGCTCAACTCGCACATACATCGATTAAGGGTTGAGGTAGTTAAGCGATATTATTTTTCACTAGTTTCTCTTATCATTTTTTCTTGTTAATGTCTGCTTCACAAGACAGATTCTCGGAAATATTATCATCGTTTAGAAAGTTGTTTAAAAGCTTGTTACTGTCAAGAAAAAGGCTAAAACGCGATAGATAATTGGAATTACATGTAACATATGAAAGTGAAATTTTAGTCTAATAAAAGAAAATGGGACGGATGGAGTAGTTCATCAACACATCTCCCATTATTCAATCAGAGTTGATGTTGAGAAAAGTTAAAATGGACTAATGTTTTGATTCAGACCAATTAGATACTATTTATGCAAGGGGGGGGGGGCGGATCACAGATCACAGGATTCCATAGATCCCAGGAACCTAAATGGATCCCAATGAATGCCAATGGATATGAAGAATATTATGTCTCAAAATTAATTACAGGCAAGCTGACTTTGATTCCAGTAAATGCAGAAATGTATTTTCCATCAAACTGTATGGAATTTTGGCTTACCCAGTCGTCTGAATCAATGAAATTAGTTTGAAAGTGTCGGAAACCGATAATTAAAAAGCACCGGCTCTAGATAGTTTCAAACTAACTTTGATAACTTGGAGAACTGAACCAAGTCAATATTTTCATATAGTTTGATAAAAAGAACATTTCTGCATCGATTGAAGTCAAATTTGGCTTGTACATAATCGATTTCAAACCATTGTATTCTTCACATACATCGAAGACGGTGATTGGAGACGCTTATTTCTGATACCAGTTAATCCCAATGGAACCCACAGTTACCCAGTTGACCTGATTATGTATGCGTGCCCAGACATGGCTTATTTTTCTCGTTTTCAGGAAAAAAAATTCATCTCTCACTTTCTTCGAATATCAAGCAAGATATCATCTAAAATATACAGCAATAGATTGAAAGTTATTGAGCATAAAACGATCAAATCGATTCGATGACCCTATGTTCAATAACCGTTAGGTCTTATTCTATTTTATATTCGATCTTGCTTGATGCTGAAAGGTAGCAAAACATGAGTATTTCAGTCGAGACCCAAAGTAACAGATGGAAACAGCTCAGGCAGATAGTCTTCGTCTCACTGCATGCGTGTCCTGATGGAAGCTAATGGATCACATTGAATCCAAATGGATCCCGCTGGATCCC